CCCACAAAACCTCGCGTCTGTCTCTTGTTTTTGGTCATCTTTGCATGTGGGTGTGTTCGTAAACCTTTTTTTTCTCTCGTTATATTTATCGTGTGTGAGCGTGGTTAAAGATCTGTCTTCCACAGTAAATAAAAATATTTATAATTTACCAAATTTTACGTGTTAATTTAAGGAGTGTTTTTGGATTTTATCAGAGGGTACAACAGGGAATGTTGTTTTATCAAGTTGGTGTTATTGTTTCGTGCTTTATCAACCGGAAGTCGCTACTTTCTCAGGCCCTCCTATGTCAGTCGCTGAGGAGATTGTCACGTGACACTTCTTAATTTGATTTTTCAGATTTTCTGTTTAAATTCACGTGTATGTGTTTACATATAATAATAATAATAATAAACATCATTCGAATCACGCTTATGTAAAATATAGAATAACGCCTCACTCGAAATCTGTTTAATGCCTGCAACACGTATTAAAGAACAATGTATTTCAGAAATATCTGAAACGGATACTGGAAAATGTCGATGACCCGCATGAAACAAGGCATTTGAAGTACATACAGACTTGGCCTTGACGGTAATAATTGTTTGTGCCTTAATTTATTCTACGTTGTTAAGAGTTTTAACATCCTACGGCCTTTTTGTTGGCAGCGGACTGTTTGTTATCAATTGACGCTAAGATGTGATTTCGGCGTGAGGTGAGATTTGCTTGCCGAATGTAATATCTCGAAGGCCGCGACCAAACAGTTGAGGTGGTAACAGCCATTTGCATTTTTTTTTCACTTCTGAATCTTTTTTTTTTTCAATATCTTTATATAAAGATTGCGTATGTTTGACAAGGGCACTCATGTTTTCAGGACTAATAGTAGTATTAATTGTGTGTATTATATCGAAGTGGAAAGGATTCGGGTTGAATTGTGATTGTAAAAAAAATGAAAACATTTTCGGATGGTAAATTTGTGACAGAATGTTTGGAAGCTGTTGTGAAGGATATTTTACCTGATAAAAGTAAACTGTTTTCGAACCTAAGCCTATCTCGGCAAACAGTGTGTTGTCTATGTTTACATGTAAGAATAATAGTAAACACAATAATAATAACTCATTATGTTTCAATTTTTCACTCCAAAAAAATGTCTATAGTGTATCTAAATCTAATATGGGGATATATAATTTTATATGTGGCCCGCGGAGTTATGATGCATTTCCAAAGTGGCCCGAAAGATCATTTGGGTTGGCCACCCCTGGTCTAAACCACAAACATAGGAGGATTTCTTGCTTCTGGATTCGCCCTAATCCCCAAAGGGAGCTGTTCGTCAGCGGGATTCACAAAAGTGCGTTCTGTTTTTAGACTTTGTCGTAAGAGGGCGGTGTCGGCACCGGAAGTTTGGGGATATTTGCCTTTCACTGTCGTGGCTAATTGCCAGATTCAGCCAGGAATTAGCAGAGCACACAGTCAATTATGAGAAGCTGATAGTCGCTCTGTTGGTCAACGAATTTCCAGCGGTTTATTTTATTATTTTATTTTCTCCGGGTTTACAAGAGCTCGCCTTTACTCCTTATCATGTACCCCGTCTCCATCTTATGCGTGCTACCGGTTCTGCCCATCACGGACTTGATTTTATGATCCCAGTAATATTTGACAAATAATTCATGAGGACGATGTTTTTATCTACGTGTGTGCGTCTTCCCTATTAAGTTCGAATATTCTGCAAAGTGTTCTGTTCTGAGACACCATCGCCCCTTTCAAAGAAAATTGATGAGTTGTCTGGGTTGTGGCGCCCTGTAGTCTTGCTCAATTATCGACGTTTCAGATGTGCTTGCTGCCTCCGTCATCAGGACGATGAGTTCCATTCGTCTCCCTGATGATGGACGCAAAAAGCACCTCTGAAACATCCCGTAAGACACATTTTCAATTGAGATATTGGCCAGAATTAACTGTCTCCGCCGGAAAAACCAGTGTTGGCGTTCGAACCACGTGACTCGCTGCCTGATGACGTATCGCGGTATAACTGCTCGTTTCCGCAGCTGTATTGTGTGTGTTGTGATCTGCGAACGTGAACAGTGGAACAAGTGAAGTTGAACAGTGCGCTCGTTACATGGCTCTTGCCATCATGGTGGCCTTCGGGTCTGGCGGAGCGTCTGACGACAGGAGTAAAGGTAATACTTTAATCTAACAGACCTCAAGTATGAGTTAATCTTTTGAGTTGCACGCGAGGAGTAAGAATGGAGATTTCTGTCTTCTGGGTTGTGCCGTGTAGTCTGGTCGATGCTTACCAACGTTTCAGAGGTCGTACTGCCTCCGTCATCAGAGTATGAAGACTTCTGTCTTCTGGGTTGTGCCGTGTAGTCTGGTCGATGCTTACCAACGTTTCAGAGGTCGTACTGCCTCCGTCATCAGAGTATGAAGACTTCTGTCTTCTGGGTTGTGCCGTGTAGTCTGGTCGATGCTTACCAACGTTTCAGAGGTCGTACTGCCTCCGTCATCAGAGTATGAAGACTTCTGTCTTCTGGGTTGTGCCGTGTAGTCTGGTCGATGTTAGGGCGCCCTGATGACGGAGGCAGTACGACCTCTGAAACGTTGGTAAGCATCGACCAGACTACACGGCACAACCCAGAAGACAGAAATCTTCATACTCACCATTGTGAAAACCTCAAATCTTACATAGTAAGAATGGAGTTGTTGTACGCTTGTAGACATGTTTCAGCGTTGTAAATAATTCACGATCTGACTTTTCGGCCGCGTGGTAAACGTTCCAAAGTAGCGGGAAGGAAAAATGTAATGAGACAGATCACGACTGACGTGTACGAAGTTGTTTTTTCAAAGATGCGGTCCTTTGGGTGTAATAATCCTTCTAAGCGCGCTGATTTCTGCCCACAGATTGTATTTAATGGTTCCATATGATCCCCTGAATAGACAGCGAACATCTCCTAAAACTATTAAAATGAACTGATCGTTGTCGTGGGCATATCCTGTTTTCTTTGAGGTACGGAATGAATTCTTGAATATTTATATGTGCTTCGCCCTTGAAGGTTAAGGAAATATCCAGGCATACTGTTGGAGAGTGGAAGAGGACCGTGAGACCTCTCACTTATTAAAATCGATAATCATTTTGAGATTCAGATCTGGCGTCTTTGGAAAGTTGCCGCTCCACATACCTGATCGGCACCTCTCTGCCTTTTTCCAAAATTTACAATTTTTTTTGATTCCGAAAAGTTATTGCCAGTCCAAGTTTTCTAAAACTGCGCATTTCAATTGACCTTCAGTCGCTCAGGTGTTCGGTGACTCATTCGGATGCGCACAAGATGACAGATGAACCGTGGTTAGTAACGCAGTTGGCTAGGAGTGGACAAAATACTGCCCAAGTGCCTTTATTTTCCATTTGAAAGCGGCCATTTTACTTTTCACGCCGGTTTATCATGAACACCGAAAATGTTGTGACCATTACGTTTTCATTAGGGATTAAGGATTATTGTTTAACAATAACTATAAATTACCTGCACATCATTGGTTAACTAGGTTGTCATTATCATGGAGACGCGCTGTTTTCTTTGAGGTACGGATTGAATGTTTACAATTTTTATACGTCAGTGTTGATACCTTGATGAAGGCACCTGTTTGTTCTTGCAAGCAATTTTCGACTCTGATTATATTTGTAGACTTTTATTCGATGTACAGTGGAACAGAAATTGTAGTCTAAACATGTTTCAATAAAATGCTACATTTTTTCCTTCTGGAATAATCCTGGATTCAAGTATTCATGTGCTCTAATTATAAAGGTCCCTACAATCATGTTTAATCGGTACTCCTTGGGTGGGCGATCAGCTATCGACATTCACAAGACGACGTCAGCAAACCGCTGATAAATTCACGCCTTGAGTGGGATTTTAAAACGATCCCAGCGTTTGCTACCTGCTGCTATGTAACGCGGTACTAGCTGATTCAGCATCGTTAAACACGTATCAACATTTTTTTTCGACTGGAATAAAATAAACCTTGGTGAAGGTTTCGATGCCAAAATACTTTTGTTTTCTGGTCAGTCAAGCGTCGAGAAGCGTAGCGGATACAGATTTTCATTTGTTTTTCGTCGACGTAACAATGCGATCTGGTGGTGGAAGGTCGAAGTAATTTACAATTCGTTTATTATTAGATTTATAATGCGCTCATCATCTAGCTATTAATTCCTCGGATAAAACAAACTTTGTTTAATTTTTTTGTGCTGTGTTGAGCTGTATAATGTTTTATTACATTAGTTGTGGCACTAATAACCCGTTATAAAAGCCGTGTCAGTTGATGACCTCTTTAGCCTCGTTCGTAATTTCCAGATGAATCCATCTGGCGGTGGCCGTGTTTACTATCAGCGGGTCATCACATTTGCGCATGACGTTAGAAATAGCAGAACGGATCAGCGCAGATTTGGGATTTCCTGCTGTGGGATTCGAATATGTAGCCATGTTTGGCGTCGGCTAATTCTGGCCTCTGATGCGCGGTTATAATTTATGAGTGCCTGCAGAGCAGTGCCTATGCCTGCCCGCACTACATTATTGTAGCAGTGGCGCCTTGCTCCGAGAGTTAAGAAAACAGCTAAACTGTTAGTTGTTCGTGATTGTGTGGCTTCTTTAATTTGTTTCTCCTTATTTCTGGCCCTTTTTCCCCCTTTTCGTTTTTTTTTTCGTATTTCTTCCGCTGTTATGCATTTTTCTTTCATTAAACAACGTTAACCAGTTGATCTTTGTAATGGTGAAGCGTTGTGTTTTCTTCGCGGTACGGGCCGTATCCTTAAATGTTATTTAGACGAGCGTAGGCTTCAATGGGTTAACCAGTTGATCTTTGTAATGGTGAAGTGTAGTGTTTTCTTCGCGGTACGGACTGAATTCATATTACTTGGTCGAACTTCGGCTTTAATTAATAGTTAAAGCAGGGGGTTAAACAGTTTCTCAGCATTTATCTTGTGCGTTTTGATTTGAGAGAAAGATAATTCTTGTGCCGTAGAACGAGGAGAGAGAGAGAGAGAGAGGGAGAGAGAAAGAGGAAATTGGTGGGGGAGAAGTGAGAGACACTTCGATATCTGGGGGGGAGAAAGAGCATCTTATAGCTAGAAGGTCCCCAGGCAATGCCCGCTCGTCCTTCTGTTAAGGATAAAGTAAGAGTGAAGGCGTTAGTGTGATGATTGGCATAAAAGACGGAATTTTGACATTTTGTATTAGCGAAAGCTGAGGCTATTAATTTGGAAGTTTAATACATAATTTAGAAGTTCCTACTGAGGGGGGGGGGTAAATTTTGACGGCGTTAACGGGAGGTAAATTTTGATTAATTTAAATCGGGAGGGCTGCGTGAGAAGCTTGCAGTAGCAACTTGGAACTTGGGAACCATCTCAGCATTTGCTTGAAGACAGAGGAAAACCTGTGTCGAGAAGTTAGGACGGAAAGGGATGTTTCAGTGACGGATTTCTCAGTCAGTGTACCGCGAGTTTTTGTTGTTGTAAGCGTTTATTTACGTTTGGCAATAGCGTGGCACTTTTCGAAGTCCGGCTATTCCAGTGGATGACTTATTATGTAAGAGGAATTGTTTATTCATAAAATTCGTTCAGAATGGGGACCAATGGCGGGTTGGCTCTTGGGAACACTGTAGCAGTGGAAAAGGTAATTATTCACCATTGATGGCCTGAAGTTTGGGTTAAACCATGCTAATGGCAGATAATACGATTAAGAGGTGCGGGATTGTGGCTCGTTAGTGACGTCAGAGTGGTCTTACTAATCAAATTAAAAGTTCGGGCAAGTGTTTCGCAGTGTTAACGACAAGGTAGTGTATAGGGTAAGTGGTCTCTCTACTCTGTGGAAATGTAATTGCAGGAGTGTACAATTTTTTTTAATTTTTTTATACTGGTCCTTCACAACAGTTTACAATAGTTCGAACTTCAGTTGTTAATGTTGTTTACACCTTAATAATTCGCCCTACCGCCATATTTACATGAGCCGGGATAGCTCAGTCAGTATAGTGACTGGCTACGGGCTGGACGACCGGGGTTCGATCCCCGACGGGGGCAGAGGATTTTTCCTCTAGCCTCTGCGTCCAGACCGGCTCTGGGGCCCACCCAGCCTCCTCTACAATGGGTACCGGGGTCCTTTCCCGGGGGTAAAGCCGGCCGGGGCGTGATGCTGACCACTCACCCCCATCTAGTGCCGAGGTCAAGGAAGAGAGGAGCTATACCTCCACTCACCCCAAACGCCTACATGGCGTATAGTGGGACAAACTTTACTTTACTTTTTACCGCCATATTTACATTGCTGAATTGTTGGCCTAAATGTACAGAAAAATGAAGTCCCGGATGAAATTCTCATATAAATTGTACTGTTTAATTAAAACGTTTGTGTGGAATGTACTGGTGCATTCTTATAATTACGTAACAGACGAAGAAGATGTTTTTCAACTCGGAACTAGCATAACCTCCCGTTCCCCCCACAGAAATACCACTCACCGTAACATCAGTCTGTTTCAGCATCGTTATAAAAACAGGCACTCTGTTGCTATGGATACGTTGTAGTTCGCGCAAATCAGATTTGTTCCCCCATCCGCGTCTTTCGTCAGATGGCGGTAGATCCTCTCTTTGTTCTTACCCCAATTGTCTAAATAATATTTAATAATTCAGCCCGTACCGCAAAGAAAACAAGAAAGCAAACCACTCGGGCCGTGCGTTATGAATCCTTGTTAATGTTTCAATATGCATCACCGTGTTACGCGTGAGAAGACGCAATTCGTAAATGTTCGTAATGAAGCTAGGCATAGCGGCCATTTCTTGCTGATCCATAATTCTTGTTTTTATTTATAAGTCTGGCAGTGTTACCGGATGTAAGATAACCCAGAGGCACTTCGGGTCGCCGGCGCTGATAACCAACGAGCAAATGTGTAGGCCACCCTCGTCCGCGGGGGAAACTATCGGCGTTGACTGAACGTGCGACAGCGCACTGCAGTAATGAAGCCGAATATTCAAGATTTCGGTCCGTACCGCGAAGAAAACACCTCACTTCACCATTAGAAACATCAACTGGTTAACGCTGTTTACAGTGAGAATCATTCAAAACCTATTTTTACAGAATGCAAAAATATTTACTGTTTAAGCAGGTGGTACGTATAATTACCATCGGGCTTTAAAATGTTA